TAAAGCTGAGCTATTTTACATAGCTCAGCAGTAACTTGCATATGACTTCTTATCTCTGCAATCTTTTGCACAGTTTGTTTAATAGAATTTTTTTCCCCACTGCATTTTCCTGATTAGAATTCTCTGGGATGCTATAGACAAAGTTCATTTGCAGTATAAAACAGTGAGTTTAACAGCACACATTATTTTCAACAAACACACTGACTGAAGCTATTTGGGTTTTGTGCTTCTAGGAAAAACAGATTTCAAAAGGGGAAGAGTCTTCATCCAACGTTTCCTCTGAGCCAAAGTCTTTCAGGCACCTGTCTTGGAGCACTAGGTTCCACTCATTCTGGAAGACAAAGCACTGACAGAGGTCCCCAGGAATTAGGTGTGAACAAAGAGGGTTTCTACCATGAAGAAATCTGCACAGTTACCAGTTGATACAGTACTGCTTGACTGTTGGCAGGAACACAGCCAAAACTTTATGTCCCTTCTACTCTGCTGCCAAGGCTGAGCCCCTGGAATGTGACAGTCATTGCTGCACACAGGCATGTAATAATCACAGGCATCCCACAAGCAACAACATTTTGTGTTTACGTAAACTGCTTTCAAGCTTGAATAGGGTCAATAACATGGAGGATAGATGGCCTATAACTAATTTGTCATAATAATCATCTGATTATATATAATCTGGGTAATCCAATAAAGTAATCATCTCATACTCAAGGCTAATAATCTCTAAAAACCAACTAATTTCTCTAGAAAATTTATCCAATTATGGACCTTCTAGGACACAAGCATTCAAGATTTCAATGCATTTGGACTTGATAGCCCCTAAGACTGCAGCATCTCTTAAGTAATCTTGATTTACTTCTCTCTTGATTTCCAATTACCTTTCTTCCTCAGAGGTAATCATAATCACACTGGTATATTTTAAGCTCTTGTATTTCAGGTAAATGGCATAACTGCTGTGCTGTGATCCACAGGTCTTTAAGAAGGACAGTAAAAGAGGACAAAAACTGTCAGCGTTGGTGCTTGGCACCAGTCAACAGTGGATAGGAACTGACCGCCACCATACTGTAAAACTTTCATACCTTCTCTCTGTGAGTTCTCACAGGCAGCTCCTTGTAACACTTTCTCTTTTTCTCTTGCTTCCACATGGCCAGCTGACTTCTTCCTGTCCCTCACAGCACATATTAACCCTTATGGTCCCTTGCATGACCACCAGATCCCCTGTTCCTCACAGCAACACAACCAACCAACACCAACTCTCCTCTCGACCAGCTAATCCACTCTTTTATAACACCCATCCTTACGGGACACAGCTGAGATCTATTACGGGCAAGGCTGCTCCTACTCTTTGGTAATTAGCACAGCTGCAACTCCTCAGGGGCGAGATTGCCTTCAGCACTATCTCTATTCTCTTATAATCCATCCTCCCACAAAAAACAGGAGTGAATTTTCACTCTATGAGAAGAAATTCAAATAAATCACACCCTGCTATCGATTAGACAATGGGTGAGCCAAAAGCTTATGGGTAAGATCAGACAGAGGGCCAACACAGGCATCTGCTGTAGACCGTCCCATAGAGAAAAGGTGGTGGGCAAGCCTTCTTTAATCTGAGGAAGCATCAGAATAGTGGTCCCTGGTTCTCACAAGGACTTTAATCATCCCTGATGTATCTTAGAAAAGTAACTTGCAACACTCCAAGCAATTCAAGATGTTTCTGGAGTGCTTCAAGGTCAAAAATCAATTTTTTTTGAAGCAGATGCTGGACTGGCCTGATAGGGAAAGTGCTCTGCTGGATATTCTACCCGTAATAATCGTCTCATAAATGAGTAGAGCCTGTAGCTGCATTGACTGAAATGAGGGTTGTAGGGTCTGAGAAAAGAGAAGAAGAAGACAAGTAGCAAAATAAATACTTTGATTCCATGCCATTAAAATATAGTCTAAAGAATTAGATTTCCCAAGAGAAGGCTTCAAGAAATGAGTAGATGAGATCTCATTGCAGACATCCCTGCAGAGCAAAAATATCAAGAGATTAACTAATATTCAGGAGCAACGTCCTCACTGATGTTTGGTCTATCCTATCATGGGGAAAGCTGAGAAAACTCTGCAAAAAAAAATAGCATGTATGAAAAGCAATATATTCCAACTGAGCTAAAATGGAAAAAAGAATAAATACCCAAAAAGTGGAAAAATGTGTAGGCTGCCAAGGAGGAATAAGAGCCATTGCTCAAACAGGCAATGCAGGAGTTGGGAAAGCTGAGGCTGGAAAAGAAGATATGGATGTGAAGGGTTTTACACAGGAACAGCAGAGGGAAGACAACTGAAAGTATTACTTTACTGCTGAGTGGGGTAGCATATAAAAAAAGGACGTGACAAAGGCTGAGCTAATCCATTCCTTGGTCTTTACTGGCAAAGCCAGATCTCAAGATTTCTGTATCTATCTTCCTGTTTAGTGACAGAATTTAGTGAAAGCAGTAGGCGTACGAACAACCAAGCTGCGGTCCACTTAAGCCCTCTGGGAATACAGAAATCCATGGGACAAGGCAGTGTCTTGGGGATGCCAAGGAAGCTGGCTGGTGTCACTGTAAGAGTGCTATCAACTCTGAAAGGTAACAGAGGCAGCTCCCAGTCTCCGAGAACAAAAGCAAATATTAGTCCATACTCAAAAGGAACTAGAGGGAGGCTCAAGAAGACTACAGTCAAGTCTGTATCATCCCATCTCCAGGCAGGCTATGCAAGAAATGTTTCTGGAAGATATTTCCAAGCACATATGTTTGCAAACAACCGACACAAATTTGCGAAGGATCTGAACAAACTAACTGCTGTCTATGACTGTTCCTGTGGAAAAGCAGAGAACAGTGCTTTTTCTTGTATCCCTTTATCACATTTTTTTCCTATAGAGGCTTTGTAGCTCAGTTATAGAGATGCAGATGGATGAGTGGTTAAAAACAGAATGGGCCTTTTAACTCAAAACTAGTGAACAAAAAAAAGCCCAAGCAAGCAGCCTGTAGGACTGATGCAGGTGGGGTCGTGGCAGGGACTGATGTTGTTAATTTCCATCAGTGACCTGGACAATGGACCATATAAACTGAATTTAAATGCTACCAAGACACCAAACAGGGGAAGAACAGAGGTGCTGCTCAGAGGGACTTTGGCAGATGGAAGGAATAGGCCAAAAAAATCCACATAAGGTCCGATAGAGTAGCAGAAGGTAAAAGCACAGGCTTTAACTCATGCCAACTCATGAGCTGACAACCTAGAGACTGGATCTGCAGAAGAGGAACTGGATATCTTGATGGAACAGGAACAAAGACAGTGCTGTTGCCTTGCAGTTGATGCAAGATAACTGCACTGGCAAGAGTGTGGCCAGCAGAGCATTCAAAGTGATTATTACCATTATGATTCTGTGTGGCATAATGGTGCCCTATCTGCAGGACTGTGTCAGCTTGTGGAGCCACTAGTAATGGGAATCTTAACAAACTAAAGAGAGTGCCAGGGAGGACTGAAAGGGGCAATGGGCAGGAGGAAGCAAAAGATGCTAGGTTTCTTCAGCCTGAGTGGTGGATCTCATAGCTGTCTTCTGCTGCATTACAAATGAAGCCACAGGTCCATTGCAAAATGACAATAGAAAGATGTCCAGTTGCAGCAAGAGAAATTCCAGTAGGATATGTGAGGTGGGGGGGAAGAAATTAACAGGCTGCTCAGGTGCGTTGTGGAATCTTCTTTCTTCAAGATTTTCATGCACTACTGGAGAAACTGAGCAACCTGTTCAGACTTTGAATGTGACCCAGATGTGAGCCGAAGGTAGGACTAGATAGCCTTCAGAGGTGTTGTCCAACCTGAATCGTTCTGAAACTCCAGATTATCCAATACAGACTGTGTATTATGTGTTTGGATGGATTAATTTTGCAAAAGGAAAAATTGTTATTTTGTTCTGACCTATTGCTGAGTGCTTATACTTTTAGGGTGTTTATAATTTATCTGGACTGGCACAGAACTATTTGGTTTTATGCAATAATAAAATTTATTTACTTTCTTTTCATAATGTAAAAAAATTCAAACAAGGTGGAGCACAGGAAATATTTTTACTGTGATACTGGACTTTCCCCTGTTACTTAGGTGTAAATCCCTTGACATTTAGCTCAGTTTCCTCTTTGCTTTACACATGTGTAACAACATTTCCCTGAAGTCACAGACCTATTATAAGAATGAACATGTCCATTTCTTAATTACACCCATGAAGTAATGACATCTTGACAGCTCCTTCTTTCTTTGCCACTGAACTTACCTTGAGATCACCTTAAGGTTACCAGTGCAGTAGCAGTGGCTGAATAGGCAAAAGTCCATCCAGGTCTCCATATTTCAAAGGGTGTTGGCTGAATTGGTGACTTCTAAATTGGTGACTTCTACATCCATTTAGGTTTCGAGGTCCTGGGTTGTTTGGTACATGTACTATTTCTTCAGATGACTGAGTCATCTGACATACTGAATGTGACTGGCAATGGAGATCCATTCAGGAGGACACGTGGTATTCTTTGGTCTTTTTTGCTCACCTAGCACTGACTAGTGCTTGTTTAATGGCCAATATAAGTTGTGCATCATTCAACTACTGTTTGGGCTAGGGGTAGTTATTTGGGTGTTTTTAGCAGTTGTATTTCTTCGGCTGGGGCTCCATTTCTGCTTCTGAATGAAAATGAAATTTGCACAGTACATCTGTACTGCCATTTGAATGGGGTTTTTTTCCTAAATTTTCAGCAGCTACAGCTTTTTCTTGAAGTTGTTATAAGAGGTAAAAGCCCAAATGGGTGGGTGTAATAATGCAAACAAAACCAAGTAACTCAGAGCTGCAAAACTGAAATTCAGCAAGAGAGAGACAAAACCAAAATATGACCATATGGAAACTCTGCAATGTTGAAAATGTTTGTTTCTTTAATTCTGAGAAAGAAAAGGCAAAGATTCATAAAAAACCTTGATGAAAATATAAAATAAGAAGCAAAGTAAATCACTAATAATTCTACATACACTTTATTCAAAAAGAACCCTTCCTGAAAGTATTAGTACTTGAAAAACATATTGTTTGTGGAAAATTTAGTAAATACCGTCAAGTTACTTAAATATACTGCTGCTCTTAGGTTGAAAGACATAAAACCCGTTGAATGGATTGAACCTTTACCATATATCCAAATTTATCTCTTAAATTAGTTTGATTTCCATAACACCCTATAGGAGATTGTAAAAGCCTACCAGCACGGGCAGATCCTCCTTTGGCATTCTTTAAAAGTGGAGCTCTTTCACCCACAAATTTAACTGACCTTCTTGCCCCCTGCCTTTCAGAAACTACAGCTACAAATGCCATCTGTATTAGTAATATAATGCACTGATTGACAGTTTGATCCTTTATCTGAGCTATTAGAACAAAGAATAAGTGGTTATTAAAATTATGACTGACTTCAGGGGTCAGTAATACTCGATATTTATGTGAGACATTCTCAGAGAGAAGGAATAAACTCCATAGGCAAATGCCAAATACAGGCTCACCCTCCACTGGTCATGGCTAATAACCTGCCCATCACACCAGAGGACAAAAGGTGTCTGTACAATAGAGCAGCCAGTCACTAGAGATTTCCCAAGAAGCTTCACACAGCAGTGCTAGGCAGACTTGTGAGAAAGAGAGCTGATGTTGCATTCCAGTACATATTAACAAGCTGTTGAGCCTAAAGTGCTGAATCCTGACTCCATTTGACAAACACATCTCCTGTTGAATTCAGCAGAAGCTCAGCAGGGATCAGTCTGTGGCTCAAACAGAAGGGCAAGTCAGCAGGATAGCTATTTAAAAGTGATCACACTTAACGGCTTTGCTGTAGTCTTCCTCTTTTGCCTTCATCATTTTGGAGTCCACAAGGTCATTTCACTAATTATAGTGCCAATCCATTTATCCATTAAACATTTGTAGACTGAGATGCCATTTCAGATACAAAGATTATGGTTACAACTGCAGTCGATTCAATGATTGCAAGCAAGTTAAGAGGAAGGAAGCAGGGAGAGGAAATCAAACTATTTCTGTTGCACAGTGTAGAAAGAAAATTATTTCCAAATATTTCCATTCTGCAGCCTGTTTTTCTACAGCTGTAATTATCTAAGGACATAGGCACAGTAACTTCTGTAAGGAGGGGTAATACTCCCTGTCAGCTGGTATAGAGTCTAATTTTGTAGCTATACTGATTGATCCAATAAAGGATTCTACCTCTACAAACTTTGTCACAGGAAATTTACTGATGAGGATTAGATTTTTGTCTAATAACCTCCAAGCCAAAATCACACATGTGATTCCTCAGCAGGAGGTAAATATAGACTTAACTTCCTTTCTTTTCATTTTGCTTCTGGGCTAAGACATGCTATTATTTGCTTTAGTTTTATCCTAGGGTCACCCTTTGTGTTTCACCAAGGATGCCCTAGGATATCCAGCTCCCACTGGCAAAGTTTTGCAGATCAGCCTCTCCACTCTGCACCACTTCACCTCTAACACCAGGCACCAATGTTCAGCTGGGGCAAAAAGTACATTCCACATCACATTTACCACAGTTCTGCCCCAGACTTGTTCCAGAGTAAATAAGCAACATGCATCTGCTACAATCAAAGATAAAAATAAAAGTAAGTTCAAGAAGTCAACAATAAAAAATAAAACTCCCTGAGAGAATACAAATAGGAGTTAAAAGATACTGACAGTCCCCAGAGCCTCCACACCACTAGGGCAGTTGCCTGCTACAGTAGAGGTGATAAAGCTCTCTTTTCTAGCCTGAAAGAGACTTGAAGGCCTCAAAATCAACTACAAACAGAATTAGAAAATTTGTGTGGAAAGAATAATTTTATTAACCTCCCCAAAAGAAAACTCTTGGATAGGCCACTGAAAACAGGAGCATGCAGTATTGAGTGGCTAGGAGGAAAGTTATAAAAAGCAAACAAATATCTAATTCTATCCACGCCTCAGCCACACCATGACAGGCTGGTTTAGTTTTCTGCCTCCAGCCACCAGCAGCCAGCAGTTGTTTCCATTGTTGCTCCCTCAGGTCCAGATAACCGTCTATTTTTGGAGGAGCAGAGCTCCAGACCAAGAGTTAAAAGTCTTTGTAAAGGGCAGCTGGTTGTTGCATGCTTCTAATACATGACCTTTGTTCAAACAACAAGCAAAACATTTAAATCCCTCTTGCCTCATGTGCTCTTTGTGTTGAAGAATCCCTAAATTTAAATAGAAAAATGAAACCATAAACATTACATTAAGAGTAATTAATGTATTCTATCCCTTTATCACAAAAGTGTGTTTTTCAGGTGGTGAGGTTTTTTCAGCTAATTTAATGTACCTATTAAGAGTATTCAAATGAAAGATTAACATGATAGTGAAAATGGGGAAATATCAGATTTAACACCAAAACTTTTAAATACAAAGATTTATAGTCTAAAATTGTAAAATAATTGTTCAAACTTATAAGAGACTGTTCAAAGCTGTAATTGAAAACTTCTGGAAATATTCATTATATGACCCATAACAATCATGGTAAGACTTGTAAAAATTATTAGAGTTGTCAGCTTAGCACATAAAAGTCAAGACAATTTCGCAGATGTATCTCTTCTGTGTATATCACTATTGGCAAATTGCATTTAGGAATTTATAGGAATGCACTAGGAATTTGATGATTTATTTTACCTATCTCTAGAAATGTCACTCATGTAAGTGTCAACAGCTACTAAAATGGAAATTATTAAAGCGAGAAAAAGCTGCAGAACAGCTGCAACTGTCACCTCCCCATATCTCTCTTTCAGACCTTCAGTTTGGAAGGTCTGGCTTTCATCCTGCCTTTCCTCATTGCTTTATACAAGGCTATGTTCAAACTGGGAAAATTAGAAATCATCTCTAAGTCAAACAGTGTCTGAAATCTGTCCACAAATCGGTTCTCTTCCTCCAGCCTAAATTTCATGGCCCACAGAATAACAGTATCATTCTTGCACAAGTGATCAAAAGTTAGAAGGAGTTCATCCAGGAATGGATGGTGGTAAACTACATCAGCAGCCATAATGTAGTCAAAGTGACAAGAAGACCTAGGAAAGTTCTTTTCCATATCAATTCCCCAAGACAACTCCTTAACACAAGGCTGGTGTTTGCATTTTTGCTTTGTATTTTGGAGAATGTTGTACTGAAGGTTTCCCAGTAGTTCTGGCAAATCTGTGGCAGTCACAAAGGCACCTGTGACACAGAGAAAACAAATACAGTATTTGAATATACATCAACACTTGAGTAAAAGCCCATTCACAAAAGTCACTGCACAATAAACTGGTTTTATCAGATAACTCTCACTGAGGGCAAAAAAAAAAAAATGTAGATGCTCTCAGTAACTCTTAAATATTATGCTTTAAATAAATACTTGCTTCCTTGTAGTTCTACTCTACAGATTGACATCTAAATGCAACTGCTGGGGAGAAATCAGATACTTACTCTATCTTGATGTCTCATTGGTTAAAAATACAGTGACTGACTAGGGATTGATGAATACCAATTACTGAATCCAAGAAGTCAGCATGAGATTTAAGTCTTACCTCAGGTTCTTCCCTTCTCACACAAGAAGCTTTCTCAGACTACCAAAAGCTAAAGTTCTGTTAAAATGCAGTACCCACTGACCTGGATTATTCTTGCAGCTGAATAGGGTGCCATGAGAGAAAACACAACAATGTCTAGAGCAGAAAGATCAAGTTGCTAAAGGAAAATACTGAAACACAAATGGATAGAAGGTGACCTGGCATCCAAAATTGGTTTGGTCAAAGGAAGGGGATGCACTGGTCATACTTACATCTGGCTCAACCTGTTTGCCACTGATACCCTGCAAAGCCACTGATTTCTTATTTTGACCCCCAGTTTAACATAACTAATGACAACATATCTACTGAGACCTCCTTTATTGTATCAATACACTCCCAGAAAAAAAAGCCACCACAGCATGTTTCCAAACAAGCCTTTTAGAATTTACTGTTTCTTGCTCTTGGTAGCTTTCAAACAACGGCCTCCGAGAAGAACCAAGCCACATTATTTGTCCTCCATTATTTATCTGAGAGGTGTTTCCAAGAACATAAGAGAAATATCATATACTCACCCAGCAAACTGGCTACTATGGAGACCAAACCAGTTCCAGCTCCAATTTCAATCACATTTTTGTCAACCAAATTGCACTGTTTAGAATTAGTTTCCAAAAAATAACACAGAACAAGAGCCTGTAGAGGAGGAAATTAATGAACATACTGAACAAAATAATGAACTAAATCCCTTTACTAAATATGAATTGCCATTTAAAAGCATGCAAAAAAATTGTTGTCTGTTCAAATGAGCAATATTTATTCAAGCACTATCCCTAAAGGACCACAGCTCACTATGTTCTTTGGGCTCTATAGGCCACAAAATAAATGCTATAAAATGCATTTTCATATGCAAAATCCATATAAGTCTGTGAATTATTGCAGACAGAAGGAGCAACTATAAGTAGATAATCTGTCACAACATATGACATGAGTTGTAAAATTCTGGTCACCAATTCCTGCCTATAACTGGACTAACTTCCTGCCAATTCCTGCGTGTAACTGGACCTACTTCTGGTTGAGACAAAAACCAGTCCTTCACAAAAACATCTTGATATAAAGACTGTTTCTGAGAGAAAATCCACAAGAACCCTTGTTAAGTTCTTCCAAAAGTCAATTATATCTGACAATAATTAATTATTGTGAAGGTTCAAATGGGACAAATAGATTTACCCCCTTTTCTTCTGGTTCAGTTTTTTTGTAGTTTCTATTTGCCTATCTTGTCAAGCTTAGCAAACTTTCATAGTAAGTATACCCACAAAGAGCATCTACAACAGACTCCTTACACATGTATATACAAACTGATTATATAAGTAAGGTATATATAAACTGATTAACTGTAAACTTACACATGTATATGTAAACTGATCAGTTTATATATAAACTGATTCTTAATCTTAAAGTGATTAAGAATCTTCAGCTTTTCTGCCCTATCTCACACTGACCAGTGAGTTTTAGTTCCCAGCTGAAGTAGAAATTGCTAATTTTATTTCTCTCATAAAGATAGTTTCCATATTTGCTTCCATATTTTTCTCAGACTTTGATAACTGTAGAATCTCCATTGACAAATAAGATGATTGCTATATCCTCTCACAATACAGATGACCATTTTGAAAGTCAATCATTAGCAGGCCTGCTCTGGCATAGCAAAATTAGTTTTGCCTTTAACTAATTATGAATGAGGAGGACTGCTGGCCCAATGTTAACATGCTAGAAAGTAAAACAAAGGGGTTTTTTTTTTCTACCTCTTAATTCAGAGCACAGAAGGGAAGGTAATCAGAACTTACATATATCATTTAATCAACAGCACTTTGATATAGAAATCAGCCTGTGAGAACCAGGAATAATTGAAGTCAGGTTCCTAAAGACTGGGTCTGATATTTGACATTATATTGACATTATATTGACATTATAATTGACCTAATATTAGGATTTCCTCCTAGTCACGTTAATTCCTATAACTCCTTCCCTCAGGGTTTTGCTGTATTCTATTATAGAAACTGACTGGCATAATCAAAGTTTCTGAGGGTTAAATCAGGGAAACTTTGAAATATTCCTTTCCATGAAATATGCAGAAACTTTACTTTCCTTAAAGTTTCTGCACTCTTGAAAATTTGGCAGACATTTTTCATAAGATTTCAAGTACAGCAAGATAGAAGTGGAAGGGAGAACATCAAGAGACTGAGACTGAAGGGTTATCTTCCTTCCACAACAAAACTGGCTAAGCCCTTCCAGAAAAAAAATATGTTTTTCAGTGAAGTCCATGATTTTGTGTGAATAATTGGTAGTCAGCCAAACTTTCCATGAAGACATACACTGAGGTCATCAAAACATATAGTACAGATGACTGGTCCTGGTCTCTTGAAACCAGGAATATCATTTGGATTTCAAAGCAGAAGAGTAGGACAGCTATCCTCAGCTGTACTGTGGTCATACTTCTAAAAAACAGTATGATCCTAGGAGGCTGGGGCAGTTGGGAAAGAAATGGAGCATCCTGGGTCTCTCCTTTAGGGACAAAAATTTAATCATGCATCGTGGCACCTCCCTGGAGATTTCTTTCAGTCTTAATTATTTCAAAACAGTAACTTTGCTGCACTGTACAGATTCAAAATCTGAAGAAGACTACTTGTATGGTGAATGTGTTGATGGTTCTTATATCAAGAGCCAAAGACAATGGTTCTCTCCAACTAGATTTCCAACTGTTTAAGAAACTGAAAGTTCCAGCTGAACGTTTTCCCATGTCTATGTATTAATGAGGTAAATTTGTTCCTTACATGAGTAGGTTGAATAGCTTCTATGAGTGCTAACACCTTGTGAGCTCGTATCACTGTTGTTTCCGCAACCTGGATCTGCCTGCTACGCAGCCATCTGTATTTATAAAATGTATAGAAATGCAATCATCAAAAAACTGCCATATTTCTTTCAAAATATGCTCGTAATTGGCTAATAGGATTAAAAGCTACTGGCAAGCGAGGAGGAGACACAAGATCATACATCTTGGGTGATTTGGGCATGCACAAGAAATACCAAGTAAGCTTTGAGAAACATAAGTCCACACAAAACCAGGTTAAATTCAGGTTTGGGACTTGCAGAACAGAGACAGAGAAGCACAGAAATTATTTCCTTAGGTTTATAACATATAAAAAAGTATATTTATGATACAAAACAAATCTTAAAATGCTAGATGGGTCCACAAATGAAAAATAACTACACTACAAAAATATTGTACCGATGGCCAGACGACTGCCCCGTAACAATCAGTGGCTTCTGTAATTCTTATCTCATGGCCAGCAAAGTGAAAGCCTTCCCAGGTCTTATAAGCTATATGATCAGGAAAAAAACGCCTCTCCATGATTTTTGCAACTATCTGTTCATCTTCTTTTTCCCCTGGAAGCAAAAATATAAAATGTCAAAGAGGCTGAGTGGACTGATAATAAAACTACCAATTCCTATTGAAAAGTTGATTTGGAAACAAGAATATAATTTATATCTGTGAATAAAATACATTTCACCAGTAATGGTTAGCGTGGTACACAGCTATTCTCCTGAATTCTAATAGAAATTTTCAGTGTGTGAATATATAAATTTTTTAATGTTTCACTGAAGCAGCCAAGTTCATAAAAAGTAAAGAAGGGGAATGTTAGCATGCAATGCTTTCCATTTCAGCAACCCAAAGGAAATTTTTAAACTCATTTTTTCCTTCAAGAACAGCTGCCCTAGTATAAATACTCACAGCCTTATGCACTCATATTTTTCATTATTCTCCATATCCTTTTACTGTTCACTTTCCCCATATTCTGGTTCTTTTTGACAGTAAACAAAAGGAGCCAGAATATAATTTATACGTCTGTCACAAAACTTGTGAAACAGATCCTAGCAACACAAATTATGACAGACAGGAGTGAAAGCACTTGTGTTGTAAGGAAAGCTTATCCACCCACCCCAACAGAGCCCTGACAGAGGGATTCTTTCCAGTTGGCTTGATATCCTGAATGCCATCCCTGTTGCTAAGCAAAGAATATTTATGATAACTAACAAAATCCTGGATAACCATTCTAACAGAAGAGCCTTCATTCCTTTTTAGCGGAATAACAAGCTAGTTTCAGTTTTGCCATCATCACAAAAAACTGAACCACAATGTCAGAAATAAATATGTAAGTGAAGCTGTCTAGAACATTTCCTTAGGAAATATTTTCTTAGATTCATTCCAAGTTTTCATGGGAATCTTGCTTTCATAGCCAACTATGATCTGTTGGCAAACCAATGAAAGAAAAAAATGTTTACAGGCTAAACCTTTTAGAAAGCATGCTAGAGATTTAGATAACTCAGTTGCCACCTTGTCCAGAGCAGAGTTTCTGTATCAAGCCTGCAGTTCCCATCAAAATCACAGATATTAATTTTGGGGTCTGCTCCCTCTGGAAAATGAAACCATTTATTCTTTCATCAACATAAAAGACTTTGCTCTACTGAGGATTCTTCAGATTTTCTTCCCCCTTGAATCATTGCTGTCACAGGACATAATGGCCCCAAGTGTTGTCATTTATATTGCCATATGCCTCAGTATTTTTCTTGTGATAACTTATGGACAAAGTCTCCCTTCCTTCCTTGTTAAACAAGGTCTAAGGAACAAAAGCAAGGGTGAACAAAGAAAAAGATGATACCAGAGAAAAAGACATCATGAAGCTGCTCAAACTTATTAGCCAGTGCTTTAAGCTTGTAACTCAAGTTTCAGCATCACAGGAAAATGGAGAATAGCAGCAAACAAGGAAGAAAAACCAAAAATACTTGAATTTGTGATGTTGGCACTAAGACACAAAAACCCAATAAAAACTTGTATTTGTAGAATTTATTGCAGGGGGAAAGATCCCTAATCATGGGATTAAATATAAAATTAAATATAATATCATGCATATACTACTGGGGGAAAAGAGTTTTCAGAAATTTTATTAATATAACTAAAATAAAATTCCCGACATTGAAACAATGGTATTTTAAGATGTCGGGAAACAAGCAGTATGTGTCAGCCTCTTCAAGCCTCTGATGTTAAGCTGGGAGAAAACACATGCATCACTGTGCATGTAATCAGGGAGCTCTTGACAAACATGAGCTAAGTGCCAGGGAAATGCTGCTTCAGGGCAAAATTAATCTTTCTCTTATGAAAGAAATAATAAAAAGCTGTCTTATTACACATATCATAAGTGTATTTAATAGATCATCCTGTTTCCAAACATACCAGATATAGCCTACTTTTTATTTTTTCTGATTGCTTAGAGCAGTCTGATCTTGTTCTGTGATCATTACTAGCTGTGGAAGTAAAAGCTATTCTTTCTATTACCTTTCAATTACAACCATTTTTCTTGATTTTCCTCACTTGACATCTGTTTTGGATCCAATTTTGTTGAGAAACTGGTAACTTATTAGGTCTTAACTTATAAAGCTCCTGTGAGAAGATCTATAAAAGTTTAGCAGTATTACAGCTGCCCCTCTAGCACTCAATAAACATTTCCCACCTATTCCCTACAGGATCAGCAAGCCTTCTACTTCAGGTTTGCATAGCACCTACACTAACAGAGTTTGTAAGCCACTGCTCTCTTCCTGAGCACTGTCTGTACCCCTGAAAGAAGAATCCCAAATCTGCTGAACAATAGCACTTCTTGAATTTTGGCCCATCTTATCCTTTGAGCAATCTTCCAGGTGGCTTACCTTGAGAAGCTTTTTTTTTTTTCCCTTTAAGAAAACACTGCTATTGTGAAGAATCAAAAATAATATCTGTTTCATCAGAGTTATCATATGTTAGACAAGATCCAAAGGAGAAACTTTATCAGAACCAGGATGTCAATTATCCTGACAAAGAGTGCTGACAAACAAGGAGTGCTGAATTTTAGTCAGATTCACTTATTTCATACAAGTTTCCCTTTGAACAGCAAAAAACACTCCTGTTTGCTGCTTATCTTTCTGAACAACTTCTTGTGGAAGTGCACAAAAGTACATAAGATTTTTTTTCTGTAACTGCCCTCAAAGCACTGAGAACAGAAGAATAAAGAACTAGTGGGAAATCTTTCAAGTGACAAAAAAATTTTTGTAAGAGTAAGTAAAATCCAAGTGAGACAAACTCTTTTAATATCTGAAAACATTAAGGAAATTCTACTGGTACTTTGATCAAGCCAGTTCTTTGATAACAGGTGTAAAAAGCTGAAAGGGGGCTATTCTCCTGGAAGTGTTTACCTCTGTATTAGTGAATATTCTCTTTTACAGAAAAAAAAAAAGCCCTGAAATTATGAGTCAATGAATGGACTCTAATGACATTTTAAACAAAAAGAGATGACTCATCCGTAGAATAGGGTAGGATAAGAGAAGAGGAGGTTTGACTGACCTGGCTATCAATTCTTGTAAGAATGGAAGTGCATAATGGGTATTTCCAGCAATACTAGTGGAGCACAGATACTGAACCATCAGAACTTAAAAGTCTGCCAGGATTGGCTTCTCCCTTCTTCACAGAGACAGAAGAAGACAAACACAGAGGTTGTGTTCAGCCTTCACCCCTCTTCTTTGATGTGGAGAAGTGTGGAAGTGGTATGCACACAGAACAGTTTTCTTCAGCCTATTTATCTATTTGCATGAGTAAACACAGAAACCACTGGAGTTTCTAGTGACAGAATCTTATTTACAGTAAGATGAAGCAGTTTGATACAGTCGAGGTAACATATAGAAATTGAGATGATTTTTCTTAGTGAAACAGAGCAAACTCCTTTGTCTTGATCTTGTGTACAAAAACTTACCTCTATAGATGCTCCAAATTCTTCAAGAACATCTTTAAGCTTCTTTAGACTTTTGCCTAATAGGTTAATTACTTACACTGTTCTTTGGAATATTTTAGATAAAGTATTGCTTATCATAGAAGCCTAACATCTTTGGAGCATGTTCCATGAGCTCACTTTATTTTACATTAATATCAGGACTGAGGGAAAACCTCATGTACTGTTGACACATCTTGCACTGAATCAACTATGTCAAAGGAGCCTTAACATCATTCACAAAGGCAAAGCAACTAAAATTCAAAGTTTTCCAGACAAACATACTAATCTTGTGGAAAACTGGAGTTGTGAAGTCAGTAGCAGGTTAGTTAAATGTGTGCCAAACTGCAAAATCCTGTGTAGGGAACCAGAGGGTTTTGCTGACATATTCATATGTTATGTTAAACAAATGTCAAAATATTATATGTTAGAACAAAAGCCTAAAGAAACAAAATTATGTGAGTTCTGCTGGAGATGTTCTTCAAGTAGGGAAGGGAAGGTAGAAGAAAATAACAGGAAATAGATCAGGTCAGAATGGAAAATATTGCAAACTGCAGCATCTTTTTCTATAAAAATTAGGGCAATCTTTATGTGTACAATTCTGCTTAGACTTAGTAGAAATATTGCCTGTTTAGAAACAAGCTACATGATCAGCTATTTATACCACTTGTCCCAAAAAATCTAGATACCTGAACTAAAACACAGCTAAAAAAGTAAAAAGATCCTTCCACCATGAGATATGAAGAATATACTAGCACTCAATATCTCCAATTTCAGACACATTCACAAAAATCACATACAGTAACAAAACATACTCCAAGAACTTCGCTAGTGGATTAGAAGAAGCATTCATTTAAAAAAAAAAAATCACCTATTGATTCATGAGAACAGCCTACAGGGAAGAAAAAAAATATTAGTCTCTTTCGAGTGTTGGCCTGACTCTGCTTAATCTCAGGAGGTCAAATGGTGTCACAGCCCAATGTCATAAGGAAATAAGATCCAGTCATCTGCTTCTCTCCTGCTTTGATGGATTTTCTCCAACTGGCAAAAGGAATGAAATCTAAAACTTTAGCATGAACTTGCCCTGACAAAGTTCAGCCCTACAGCAACATATTCTCCCATCTTCAGAAGCAGTATACTCTCACATATAGAGCTTAGATTTAAAGTTTACCATTTAGACTTGTTCTAACAAATATTTTAATACCATGCACCAACAGCTGTGAAGATGGTCCCACTATGACTTCTCAGCAACTGCCTCCACAGAAGAAGACTACCTGTGCTGTTTTACTGATTGAGTGACACTAGACAGTTTCTAAGAGATTCCAAGAAATCCAGGACTCTTCAGATCACCCCCACTCTGGACACACAGGAGTGAAGTCATCCAAACTAAATATTTAAGATGTATTTTATTTATATAATGTGGAAATAATAGATATAATACATATTGCTTGTATTAAAAATATATATTGTTGCTATCTATATATCCCAAAGTCAAGAGGATACCTGCAAAAAGATCAGTAAGGGAACAAACCTGCAACCAGTTCTGTGACTGTAAGAGATGACTGGAGATAAGTTATATTACTCCACTGATAGAAATTATCCAAAGGTATCCCGATAAATCCAAATGGGGATTTCCAATGGCTCACATCAAATTTATCCTAAAACTACGTAAAGATCACAATAGAAAGGGACTCTGGAGTCTCAGAATTTTTACTGAGCTACCGACATGTCAGAATCAGAGCCCTAGTCCTACAAGCACTACAGATTGCTCCATGGAAACATACACAATCCTGAATCACAATGTAGGCCCTAAATGTCAGGTAGCATCACTTTAGTATCTTTATTTCCTTCCACTTATTTCTATTTTATTCCATTTCAGCATAAGGGCTCTCACAGGAAGGTGTTAGGAGGGAAAGCTAATCGTGCTCCTGACTTCACAGAAGTCAGATGTAACCTACACCTTTCTAAGAATATAAAGCAAAGTACCATTCCAGTATGTCTAAACTGCACAGTTATTTTTTCCTTACTTCATCCCTACCTACAAAAAAGGGATATCATCACATAAGTGCAGGCATTCGACTACACTCATTACAAGCACAGTCTGCTGAAGTGATGGCAATGAAGGTGTGTATTATATTGATTAATCTGAGATAGCATGTCAGGGTAACAAAAGGCTTGAAACTGTACACTTTGAAATGCAAAACTGCAATACACAGGCAACCTCTTCTCAGCCAAGAGACAAGATGCACTTAGCCCAGAGAATAAGGACACAAGAACAAGAGAAGGGTTTGCTCACAGCATCCAGTCAGTGTATTTACCCAGGCTTGAGAGGTATGGTTTTGATATCCCAGCCGTATCCAAGTCAAAGGTCATCTAAAAACCATTAAATGGCTGAAAATAGAAGTACTGTAGTCATTTTATCTCCTGAACACATAATGAATTCAAGTTTGCCAAGTACTTCCCTTGTTACTTCATCATGTTTGTCTGTCGTTGAAAACATCTCCAAGTCTAGGCTCAGAAGCTATTTACTTTCTAAAAATAACTAAATTATTTCCCTTTGACTACAAAGCAGACTCTGTTCTTAAATTAGATGGTTAATATACATTATAAAAGGCAGGTAACTTCCTGACAGATAGGGAGAGACCTAAAAAAATGCTGTCAGTATTCACCTACCAATAATTCTTGATTTCTAAAATATTCCTTTGCATAAAGGACTAGAAAGTAACCTAACAAAACCAACCTATGCAGTCATACAACTTTTCTTATGTGGAAGTTGAGATATATTATTTATTGTCAAAATGCAGCTACTGCAAAGACTAAAGAAGTGAAAATAGGAAAGATGCGCACATAGCTGAGAGGGAAGAATAAGTCACAGACTTCCCTACAAAGGTCACGTATGCCTTGATTATTTGAGTGTTGCCTCCAGCCTCTGTTCTACCCATACACAAGAAGTTTTCACTTGAGTTTAGCAATGTCTTAAGCAAAGACATTGCTCAAGTGTGTCTACTTACTGAGGGGATAGAAAGACAACAGGGAAGTGTTAAATTAATAAAATAAGCCAGCAGGAAACCAGAATTGCAAAGATCATGCTGGAAGGATAACAAGCAAGGGAAAGCCCAACTACAAATCAGGCACTCAGTTGTGAAGAGGCAGACTTGGGGTCCATACTCAGGTCCTAGGATGTTTTTCACATTTTACAACAAAGACTTTGAAGCCAGTGAAAAAGCGTCAGTGCAGAAGATAATGGGAGAGATAAGAAGTATCATTAGAAGTAACCCAGGAAATATGAATGAGGTGCTACATCACTACCTCCTCCCAGCTGAATTACCTTAAATTGTAAGTTACAGGGTTAGGATGCTTTTCACTTGGCTCCATTCCATGAATGTCCCATTTAAGGCACTGCTCTGGACTCCACCGAGATGTTTTATATGCTGGCAGGAACTGCCATCAATTAGGACACCTGTCAGGCAGGGCAAGTAGAAGGAGTGTATCCCTTTTAAAATGTCAGGAGTTACGAGAAGGTTACTAGGACAACATTTTCTCAGATATTGATGGATTAAAAACTGAGCAATGGCCAAGTGAAGTGAGATTATGAACTGTTAGGGACATGTACATGTTGCAAAATTGTTCTTCTCCTTTTGTCTCAGAGATAAAATTAATCTGGGGTAAATCTACATAATGCAGCTAGGGTAAAGTAATTTAGTTTCCTAAGAAATTAAGACAGGAGTGGTAGCATCTGGTCTGAGAAACATTTAGCCAAGGAGAGTTAAAGCTAATAAGAGAAATCATGTGAGAAAGAGAGACATCTAACAATGCAGGTGTGGAGAACTGATTGTTTAAAGCCATAAAAGGAATGATCAGACTGGGTGAGGACTGACCTGTAAGCTGAGAACCAGCAGTAATGGGGATCATGAACAAAAATAAGTAGTTTTAAACTGGAGAATGTATGACAAGAAAATTAATAAGCAAAGGGGAAGGCACCAAATATAAAGAGCTCAGATTGTGAGGGTGGTGTAACACTGGAAGAGGTTGCCCAGAGAAATTATGGGTGCTCCACCCCTGGGAGTATTCAAGGCCAGGTTGGATGGGGCTTTGAGCGACCTGGTCTAGTGGTAAGTGTCCCTGCCCACTGCAGAGGATTTAGAACTAGATGGTCTTTAAGGTCCTTTCCAACACAAACTATTTTGTGAGTCTATGATTCTATGACTGAAACTTGCAAAGAAACCAAACTGGAATAAGAACCCTGAGAAACATACTGAGACTGGGCAGGTGAAATAATGAAATAGGAATGGGGAAAGCAGTAGAGAAAAAGGATTGGAACAAGGCACAGGCTCAAAGTAATTTAGCAGGCAAATCTCCATGCATCAGATTCAGCACCCTTACACCTCCAGAACCTGGCACAGAATTTAAGATGGCCAAGACTGTAAAGATGTCCAATCCATGTCTCCTCGTTCTCTTAGATTAATGTTTATAGACATGGAAAAGAACTACCTGGCTCTACACAGACTACAACTCAGCTGAGATTTTACACAAAAATATTATGAAAAATAAAATAATTTTTCAAATGTCCACTTTTTGCACTCAGTTGTAGAACACAACTAGACCCCATCACAAAACATATGCATTTGTCCTAATACCTTGTCTACTCCTGATAACCACTAAAAAGGGGACTATTTATGAAGCTTTAGAGTCCTCAAAGATGGGCAGCCATGAAAGCACTTAATAGAAACCACTGACAGCAGCCCCTGAAGGTATTTAAGGCAGGGTCTGAGGCGGTCTAGACACAAATCAGGCTGTAATAACCAATTCTCCTAACTGACAGCCTGTAAACAAATCTGTCTGAAAAGCTTGATCATAATCACAGCTTCATTCCTTGGAACCAGACACAGGCAAGTAACTGGAGGACAGATGCCAGGCACCAGCAGGAAGCTGCCAGGACAAGAGTATGCAGGTATAACATACTTGAAATACCTCATGCATTGCTAGCATACTACAACCGTGTTATCTGTTGCATTTTCTGTATAAATGCCATAAACACAGTTCTTCAGAAAAAAATTAATTAGAAGATAGCTCATTGTCAGCAAGACACTTTAATCCCTAATACTATTCTTAAGTGCAACAAGGAAAGATAGTGAAATAAGAGACATTTTACCCTCTTGTGTTTTGAATTCTCTGACCCCTTGATTCTGTAGATGATTATGCTGTGATGTTGTCAAATCCATATTATGGCACAAACCCTAGAACAGAGAAACACAAGTCTGTCTCAATAAAATTACTTTATTTCTTCTTTCACACATAAGCTTCATTTAAAAAAAAAAAATTACAGGTATTATGCTACAGTTTACTTCTATTGATAGTAAAGACATGAAGACACATAAGTATCAATATTCAAGGCATAAAAGTACAAGACACAGAAAACTAGTTCAACTGTTATATTCTTACAGAAGAAAAAGAACAGATTAAAAAAAAGTTTTGATTAATGTTTAGATCTATTTTATGAAATTTTAAAGTTAGAATCAATCAAAATCAAGTTTTGTAGGCTTATAAAGAATTGAAAGGAAAGGTAGAAACAAATTCCTGAATGAGAAGAAAAATTGCACCAATATGATCTAATCTTGTTTGAATTAACTGGCTTGGAAGGGCAGGAAACAATCTAATTGTAAATGCTGCACATGAGTACAAAGGAGCATGATCTACAAATAACGTGCTGAAACAGAAAACATATGTGCCTATATGAACACATAAAGAGCATGCTGGAGACAAAAGTAGTAGGAAGAGTTGGACAGAGAACAATACAATTTTCAGCTGTCTACAGAAAAGCAGACAGACAACCAATAGTCTCAAATTCTTGGTATTTTACCATCAGAAAGAACACTGAGTTCACAGGAACAAATAAACAAACAAAAAAACCAAAAAACACCACACAGTTCTTTGATATGATTTTTACATGTCCACTCTTATGTGGAAATTTGACTGTTTTTTTCCAGGATGGTTACAGGCAGCATACAGTTAGTAATCTACAGATGTCTAAACACCCAATAGGGAAGCAATTAAATAAGGCAATGACTAAAAGAGTATCTCTCCATAGTGGAACCAAACAATAAAAAGTAAAAAAAAATAAAAGAAATTTCATTCAAAATAAAAATGTATTCTGAATAACAAATTGTCCTTACAGCGCAGTCTTAGGTAGGATTTCCTCTCAAAACTTCAGGATCAAGAGGACAGTATGGAACAGCCCTCTCCTGTTTGAGAGGATGCACCTTACTCTCTTGACTTCACACCACAAAAGGCACACAGATTTAAATGTTTAACTTTACTACTAAAATACCAGCAGCCATTATGCTGTTTGAAGGTGAAAATAAATAAAGGCTTCCTACATGTCACCATGGCACACAGAACAAAAATATTGCCATTATATTTATGTCTATACATGAGCTTAGCAATAACAACATCATTAGTTAGGAAACAGAAAAGAGACTCAGTGGGATTCAAACTCTTTGTATGCATCTTCAGAATAGCAAGTGGCATAAGAATATACAGGGATATTAAGCAGAAAATGTTATGCATGTTCATTAGCTTGTTGTCTATATCAGAAGTATTAAAAATGACAGATTTTCTTCCCATTAGAAGACAAAATAAAAGGTAGAATCACCCTACAGGACAAAGCCTTTGTATTTTGTGGTCCTCTACATTTTTTATGTCATTCTAAAAATATCCTGAGGTGCACTGAACTACACAGCAACCTAAAATAGTCCAACATGGGCATTCAGGAGTGCTCCAAGCAACTAAACAGTGCAGAACAGCTCAGTTACACTGTTTAAAGGGAATAATACAAATTAATTTAGCACAAAAGACAGAGTCAGGTGAAATACCACTGGCATCCTCCGCATTTTGGTCAACATTACCTGAATCTCTCACAGCTTTCCAAAGATGGTGCTCCAGCAGCAAAGTCTTTATCTTGCCGGTGGCTTCCCCCCAAGACAGGCGCAGGCAAAGGCGTGTTCCGAAGCCTGTGTCACACATTGCCAACATCCCCAGGCCGGCAGCAATCACAAATCCCGACAGCTGCAGCCCGAGCACAAAGAGGGCATCACGCAGCCCTTACGTAAGGGAGCAATTTTGTAACAGCAGGAGACACCCTGCTCAAGGGAGCTGCAACCACAAAGTAACCAACTTGGAGCACTGTTTACAAAATAAATAGTGGCAGCGTGTTAGCAACTCCTCACTGCTACTAAAAAGTAACCGCAGAGCATAAAGCCATTCTTCAGAGCCAAAAGGCTCTTCCTTTGGAGAGAAAAATTCACCAAGGGGAAGGGGTGCTTTTGCAGCTGCGGTATAGGAATGCAGAACTGTAACAAGGTACACAACCCCCAAAACCCTAACCCCACAACACAGCTGTCAGCCTGCACAAATACAAACATGCCACTCCTCCATATCCAAGGTGTCCATTCCATCAACAGATCGCAAACACTGTCGTGGGACCCAATACAGGTATCTAAGACTTCTCTTTTTTAGATTGTAATCAATTCAGGACAGGAGCCATCTCTCACTTTACACAACTTTTAGAAAAATTAGACTTCAACCTCAACTGGATTTTCTAGGTGTTACCAAAAAATAATAAATTATTGTACCAAAATACTAAACAAGCCCTACAGAGAAGTGAGAGTCTCTGTACCATAGTCAGCAAAAGAAATTAAAGGGAGCTCTTCTACTTTTATGAAAAATTCATCAGGACCTGATACATACTTTTAAAGTAAAAGTCAGTAATGCTGATGAGTGACTTATAAAATAGTGCTGTAAACTGACTGGATAGACTGATAATTTGCTTAAAATATTATAATCTTTTCTAAAAGTAGTATCAAAAGGGATGATTTTCGCCCAGTATAAACTGTAGATGAAGTATTAGACTCTCCACAATTGTAAGAGCCAAATCCCACCCAGTTCAGCTCAGCCCCTTGCCCATTCAGGGGAGGACAATGCCTCATACAAAACTTTAACATATGGTCTTGGATTTCAAATAATGAAACAATGAGAAATGCAGTAGAAATACCAAATGAGAACCCAAATTAAAAAAAAGCAAGAAGGACTAAAATGTAATAAAGAACACAAGTAAGATGGGTAGAATTCTTTGCTTTCCCTCCTTTACAGCCAGGAGGTGGAAATAAAGTTTACATTCAGAGAAGCTCAGAGAAGTCTGAGCTTCACATCACCCCACACAAATTAATCCAATGTGAGTGCTGCAACCAGTAGACACCTCTGAACATCACCTTTGCAAACAAATACTGTCTTTGGACACAGCCAAATTCCAAACAGAGTTTGTAACATGTAACTCCAAATCTAGAAACATGTCTTTTACATTCAGAATATGGACAATTACTGCCCATCAGATTATAGAGGGACTTAATGTACTGAATGTTTTTCCTTGAGATTTTTTCAGGGTTTACATCATCTCTCTTCAATAAAAAATATTACTTTGGGCATAATACTTTCAAGACAGGCTTTGGGAAGAAGAAAAGCAAAAAATCGAACCTATTTTACTTCTCCCAACACCTAGAAAGAACCCAAGAAATTTTCATAATTTCATTTAAATTTGAAGTTAAGGAAGCAACTGATTGCAGATGGTTTAAACAGCTCTACCAACTCAATTAGAATGCAAATAAATGGACAACATGTTTTGGCTCAATATTAAAATCTGAAGCCTGGAAACTTCTATCAAGTGAAATCTAGGTCTTTCTGAGTAAGTGTGCTAAAATTAGTGTTTTGTTTGAAATCACTTCTATTTAAATTCTGGACAGAAGATGCACGACAAAATGCAGTACAAATATGGATTATTTATTATATTTTAAATATAATTCATTAGAATATTTACAAAGCTCAAGTCACAAAAATCAGTCTTTTAAAGTAATTATTTTATTTAAGACATTTTCTTTCTTATTCCTCTCTTGCTTCGTGATTTCTTTTTTCTGCCTTCAAACACAGGTTTGGCAGTCACCATAACTACATTTCCCAGGTCTTCATCCTCATCACTTGAGCTACTGCACCCTTTTTTCTCTTTATGGTCTGCTGTCTCTGTTGCAGACGTGTTTTTCCTCCTTTTGCTCTTGCCTAAATCTCTACCTTTGGATTCCTCCACTGAGGAGTCACTAGAAGTTTCTGAAAGATTCAAATTTCCAACAAAACCACCTCCATATAAAAATTCTTTTCTGGAATTGGAATGTTTTCTTCTCTTTCCACTCTGTTTTGTTGCTGCAGCTTGATTTGTGTCACCTGTGGTACCTTCTCCTTTCCTTTTAATGGGCTGTTTAAGTTTCATCTCTGTGACAGCTGAGGCCTCCTGAATTTCATTGTCTGCTTCCTTTTCCTTTCTCTTCAGACAAGTCACAGCTCTGAGCAGTCTCTGGCTTTTAATAGCTTGTTTCTCATGCTGTTCTAGTCTGAAGAATGAATCAATTCGAAGCTGAGTCTAGCAAAAATAAAAGACAAACACCGTTGAATGTTTTTGTGGGAATTCAGTTTTTAGCTATATTATAAAGCACCTGAAACTAAGGCAGGACAAAGAAGTAATGAAATTAATACATATGCACACAGATGTGAACAATAAAATGTATCATTATAGTAATGCCCATACTTTATAATAAATTAGGCAACAAGAACCTTTACAGAAATTCATAATTAGCAAACTCACAGTGAGATTTCATAAATATTGCACTGCTGGTGATTAGACATATGTTGCTATTGTCAACCCTAATATAGAGAATCTTTGTAGTGCTCTTAAGTATGTCCTTACAAACACATCCTTAGCTTCCAGCTGTGAAAGCAGAATGTTTACCAAGTAAATGCTGTAAGTGCACTTTGCATTTGTGCCTCCAAGTGCAAGAACATGCAGGCATTTGACTCCAGTTCATTGCACCTCATACTGCTACAGTATAAAGACTGAAAGTAGAACTAAGAGTCCTCACACAGTGTGGATTTGTGCTCTTCAACCACAGCTAGGCTTTTTGTATAGGTCAAGCCAGTCCTCTACTTTTTCCCTAACATTGTCTGAGACAGACTCTTCCAAAGGATATTTCAGTCAATCTGAACGAGTATGTATATAACTACGGAGCTTTCACTCCTCTCAGTGATACAGAGAACCTAGAACACTGATTTAGACAATGCATCTATCTTGTGTACGGCAAAAGGAAAAATGAATCTCACACTGGGGATCAATTTTCCAACCTACTTTGACAGCTACCAAGCGGGCATCACCATTCACTTTCAAGCGTTAACGGAGTTGACAGAACATTTTCTTGGAAATGAGAGTAGTATTATTGGCTCAACAGTTCAGTCTGCAATCATGGTCAAAGAATGGGTATAGTATCAAATGGGCAGTATCACTCCACCAAAATCTCAGGGGCATTTTTACATATACTTTATAAAGTGTTTATGGAACACTGTCTTCTAGAAGTACTGAAGTTGCTTGAGGTACCTGTAGCTTGACCATGTCCAGAAAAAACAGCAGCCTGGACTTAAGATAGGTGCTTGATAGGTAAGGAAACTTGAAACCAATGTCTGAAATTATGCAGAATCCCTCAAAGCACACTCAAATCATACAGAAATGAAGTCTAGAGAAGCAAGCTTAGTGACTTAAAAAAAGAATACATAAAATGATTAAAACCCAAAGCCCAGCTTCTGAGAAAGATATTTTACTTCAAAGCCTTGCTGTTTTTTTTTAAATGCTTCTCTCACAATTTTCCAGTTACCCTTAAACTATAGGTAGATTTTCACCTGCTGCAAGTTCAGTTGTTTCATCACAGGCAAAAGGATTCCATCTATCTTCGTCCTAGTCCAGCCAAAGTGATCCTTGCAGAATGTGCAGAAAGTTAAGGAACTTCACAAAATGGCTACTACTGGTATTTTGTAAACACATAAAATGAAACTTCCTGAAGTAAACAATGTCTGGAGGAAAATTGCTCCACTTCAAAGCTTTTTCTACTACAAAATCAGACAAAAGACTCTTGGTTAAAACAACAAATCACAATCACACTGCTGCATCTCCATTAATTGCAGAATTTTTCTCTAAGATCAGCATTTCCAAAAGCATGTCTCAGTGAAGACAAAACTCATTTTGGTTAAATGGTATTGCCATAACACAAAATGCCTGTAAATAAACCTTATTTTTACACTTGTACCTACTGAAGTTTCATTTACTGTTTAAAACACTATTAGCTCTGCATTTATTGCCATGTACTTTTCAATAGTTTGCTGCAGCTCAGACTGCAACTGAAGCAAAAAGTAGACATTGTTGGAAGAAATGCAGGGAATAATTACAGATAAAGTGCATGTTGAGACACCATTTCTGTCTAGACTTCAAGATTTATTTGTGAAAAAGGCAAACATACAGAGGAAGTGCACAAGGCAATCCCACTTCAAGAGCAGAAACAGGCACAGTACAGTTACAGAAATATAGTATCTCAGCAAATTAGTCAGTTCAGCTATAAGATTCTCTTTGCATGCAAAGTGAGACAGTCCACTCTCTCAGGAGGGCAGAGCAGCCCTGACTGCCACACATACATGGCTGCATTCCTTTCTATTCCAGAGCTGGTATCATTTTAGAGGAGCACAGGCAGATAGGGCTTGGGGCCCTTCACAACAGAGAGATGCTAAAAGCTTGACACTCCATTACTGACTCATGAACGTTGAGTACTTTCACCTAACATCAAAAGGATATTCTCTGATCTGCTCTACATCAGGCTTTCCCCAGGTAAACGAACCCCTTGACTCATCCACCACAGGTTTCAGGTATGCTTCTGCCACTGCTGGATTTGGGAAACCTGAATAAAGCTGTAGCTCCCGCAGTTTCTTCTTGACTTTGGTGTCATGTGGATTAGGCATCACTTTTTTATTCTTCTGAGCCTCATTCCACCACTCACTGAAAAACAGAGAAAATTATTAATTTGCCTCATAAAATAAAATTTGAAACATCAAGAGCCACCATGCTAATTTCAATAGTCTTAGTCTCCTTACTGCAATTACTACAAGAGATGATGTAGAAAGTGTCCAAATGAAAGAAAGCCAAAGGGACAAAAAAATCTTAAAGACAAATCATACACATTAAATGTAGCTACTATAAGCCAAAGTGGCAAATACCACTTGGATTCCCCATAGCTGCTAAACAGAAGGCCCCAGTGTTAGCCTCACTTGCAGAGGATGTTCCACACACAATGATTATTGCCAGAGGTTTTTTAATATGCAAGGAAAAGAAAGGAAAAGAAAAAAAAGACTTCTAACCATCCTTGCTATTGCCAGTACAGCTGCCTTAGCCCTCTTCAAATCTTGTTCTTGCCCACACCCTATCTGCCTGACTCCTTCCAGGTCATCCATTCCTCAATCCCCTTTCTCTATGAGAAAATTATAGCAACCTCTCACCAACCCAGGGAGAATGAATCTCTGCTCCACTATGGATCCAGCTCTCCAATAAACTCTGAGGCAGATGCACAATTCTACAGCTGTTCTGCTGTCTTTATTTGTCTCACTGTGATTGCTATATCAACTTGTCACCTTATCTACCTCTCATTCCAAATAGTGATATAATGGAGTCATGTTTTACAGCCTACTTAGTCCCATTAATGATGGTCCCATTAATCAGTGATGTCATTACATTTTGCTGCATCCTTAAGCATCTGAAAAGCATATTTACTAATAATTACAATATGGAAATACAAAAAAGCAAATTATAATGAAGCATACGCAAATTTTAAGAGAGGTTCCAAGCCATGCCCAGGAAATTCATTTAAAATCTCCATTGCTGTTACAAAGCCAACATTTGGGATGCCCTCAGTGTAGTCACTTCCAAGCAAGTATGCCAAATTAATTAGCTTGCTTCTATCCAACCCTGAAAAAGAAAGTGTATGGATTCAGCATTTATTATCTTATTTATTATCTATTCAGCATTTATTATCTCATTTATCAAAATAAAAAATATTATCAGAAAGGCAAAGGAACACAAAGGCATTAACTCCATAAAATTATATTTAATTCAACATCAGAATTTCCTATGTTTTATTCTGGAGCAGTATCAATATAATCCTGCTTGCTCCAGCACTAATAATTGTGCTACTTTGGCAAATATATCCTGCCAAAATTAAAATGTTACAATGGACATCAGGAGGAATTTTTTTCATGGAAATTATTGTAAACATTAGAATGGACTGTGCAGTGAGGTGGTGGAGTCACCATCCCTGAAGTGTTCAAGAAATAACTGGATGTGGTACTCAGGGACATGGTCTAGTTGACAAGGTGGTGATCAGATAAACATTGGACTTGATGATCTCAGAGATCCTTTTTTTTCTCAGAGATATTTTTCCAACCTAAGTAATTCTTTGATTTTGTAATTTCAAAATTTGGGGCTGTTACAAGATTTTTTTTTACATTTATTACATCTAGTTACTATTCTGATTTCATCTAATGCTGACCTGAATTGAGTAATGCCAGAATCAAACAACAACATTCTATTTGAATTCTAATCCATAATACCAATGCCTCTGCTTCCTAGAAGTGTTCCTCAAGTGGGAGCCTTTTGCTCTGTGCTGGTACAGTTACCAAGTAGACCAGAAGAGCCTGTGAAACAGCCAGAAAGAAGGAAGAACTCAGCTGACCACTTCTATTTGATAGGCTATAAGGTCTGAGGAAACCAGACTGATTTTTATT